AATATGTTGTGAATGCATATTCCCCATAGGGGAACCCACTTGGAAATGATTGCAATATTGTTACGAATAGTGGATGGAAGTTGATGCCTGATGTCGACAGAGTAAGAGGTAAGGGACGACCAAAGTCAACTCGCATTAGGAATGAAATGGACTGGGTTGAGTCACAAAGTAGGCAAAGGTGTACCAAATGTAATGAAGTCGGTCATAATCGACGTCATTGTCCTCAACTTAATCATGGCGATTAAACGTCAGGCATGATTTATTGAACTTAATTTAGATTAGTAAATGTTTAGCATTTGGATATGTGTTAATGTTTAATTACCTTAATTTATTTGTGGATGTTTAGCATTTGGATATGTGTTAATGTTTATTTACCTTAATTTATTTGTGGATGTTTATTTACCAACTGCCCCCAAAGTGTGAAGGATATAAATACTAAATAAAGATATCCATACAGTGCACTATAACTAAATATTCATATCCATACAAGTGAACTCTAACTAAAATGTTAAATAACACATAACATATAATATACGTCATTGTTTATCCCCTTTATGTGGTTGATGATCGTGATCTGATGGAGACAAGATGCATTGCCTCGCCCTATCTCGAGCTCCTGGATGAGGGTTACGACGAACCTCTCCTACATCTGCGACATTACCAAAATCGGCGTTAAGATCAATACCTGACTCAATGGGATGCATGAATGAAGGTATAGGATCAGGCTGAATGTATGGGGCAGCAGGTGTCAAAAGGGAATGATGCTCATGAGCAGGTGTCATAAAAAAATTAGGTCGTGGGCTGTATGCTTCAGATCCTGTAAATGGTGAGGTAGGAGGTTGTGGCTGCTCTTGAAAGGTACTCTGGGATGAATGAAAATAGTGGGGCTTGCAAGCAAATGAGATGGGTGAAATGGGAACTGTGATGGTACAGGGAATACACCATCAGGGCACTCTGGAATAGTCGGGACCGCCCACTCTGTTGCCTGCACTTGTCTTCGTCGACGTGTTAAACTTCTACCCTCCCTTCGTTGTTTATGTTGCTCAAAGTGTAAGTTTGAATCTTCAGGATTACCACTTTGGATTGGAGGATCAGAGGATGAAACCGGCTCTAATATGCGATCTTGCTCCTTTATTAGTGATAGCATTGTCTCAGATAAGTCCTTTAATTCATCAAAGGTAAATGAGTCCTGACCATCAATGCTTAAGTAGTGGACTTTCTTAAGTGCATCACCCTAAACAGACGGAAAACAATATATTAAAATTTTTTGGCATTAAATGAGGTTCACAATATTCATAATGGAATTATAACAATATACCAATAATGCCACAACAACTGCCTCCCTGGTCATCCAACGACGAGTGTGACTAACATACCAACGCATGTACTCTGAATTTGAACTTAATAAACCATACTGCGCCTCATTAGTCATCACCCAAAGTCTTCTATTCTCCCAAATTTCTAGTATAGCACTAAATTTGGTTGGCCAATTTTCTCTAGTCTTTCCTCTAAGTGTAAGGTCATGTAGCTGGTCAGGCTGGTAAGAAGGCTTAGGTATATGCTGGATCATACCAAACTGATGCATCACTCGATCAGGTTGGTGCCATTCACATACCTGAAAACATATCAAGGGCACCACAGCCCTCCATAAGTCCATGCTGTCTCTACAGATAGGTGGCAACATGTTGATGAGCTCCATGCTGTATGGCACCCATACAATCTGTAAAAAAACATTCAACAACAATTAATTAAAATATGGTTACACTAATAAGTGTTTAACAACTCAAGCTAAAAATTATTTATTACCTCATTACGTGTTAAACGATCTAATATATATTTGTAGGACTGGACGTCCTTCTTCCCTTTCCTTGTACCATGTGATAACCATCTGCAAGAGAAGTTTTAATACAAACATATATTATTGACACAACAGAGGATGAAGGGTAAACTCATAGGGTAACATACAAAATGAATTCCAACTTATCTCACAACATATGGAAGATTGACACGTGTATAAGGGGGATTACTAGGTGCTAGATGGAGAAATCTATCCCAAGCCCACATCACAATCAACGCAGCAAGTCCTCTAATAGCAACATGATCAATATTGGTGGCCATGCATAGCTCTCGGTACAAATAACTTAGAACTGTAGATCCCCAACTATATTGACTGGTCAACTCAAAGTCATCAAGTAAAGTTAAGTACCTCACAGAGACTCTACTGCTAGAGTGATCAGGAAGCATGAACCCTCCAATCAGCCTAAATATATATGCCCTAGCAAACCGAGTAATCTGTAGAGCATTCTGATTATGCATCCCAATATGATTAAAGTGCTCATCCAACCAGCTCATCTTCAGAAAACTCCCTACAAAAGCATCTGGTCCTGGTCTGATACCTACGTGGTCTTCAACAATCTGAGCCCAATCACCTCCAGTAGGTGCTATAATCGGTCTCCTATCTATGCGTAACCCTAATAGGATAGCAACATCTTGAAGAGTAATAGTACACTCTCCAGGAGGCAAGTGGAAAGTATGCGTCTCAGGCCTCCACCTCTCAACTAATGCAGTAATCTATCCCATGTCTAGAGGAAATTGTGATAAGTTAGCCACTCCAATAAAACCGGCTAACTCTAAATGCGGAATAATTTCCTGAGGAACACCTTCTAATCCACTAGGAATATTTTGACTCTTCCTGACCCTCAAAATCGGGTGATCACGTCTATCCCAAATATGTTAAGAGACATGAAAATTCTGAAATTGAAGGAGTGATGAATCCTCTTGTCCGGGATTAATAACCCTATTTTGTCCTAAAGATAATGCCATCTATACAAAAAACAAAATAAAAACAACATATAAATAGAAATATCAACTTCATTCGTCAATAAAATTGTTAGTATTTCATGTTTAATGGAAATATGAACATACCCATAATTCTATACAAAGTTTATTATTACGTACAAATCATTATCACATTTAATAAAATATCCTAACATAATTAATTAGAACTTTTTTGAATTTATTATAAAATTATAATCACATTCTAATTAGACAAAAATTCAAACAAAAATGTCCTACTATTGTAAAAGTAAAATTTTCTTTGTACATACAAAAATTTAAATTAAAACAACTTAATTAAAACCATAATGTCATAACATATCAAATGTAATTTTATTCAAATTAAAAAATAAACATATGACTAACATAATATCATAATTTATTTTTTATATTCACATATAAATTACTAACTTAATTATAATATATTTAATTAATCTTATTTAATTATAATAATTTAATCAAACAATTTTTTTTTATATTTAAAAAATAAATTAAATTTTTTACATAATACAATAAATTTTTTTTACATACAAATTACTAATAGTGTTTTACATTCAAATTACTAATTACTAATAATACATAATAATGAATTTATCTTATATAATAATAATAATAATAATAATAATAATAATAATAATAATTAAATTTTATAGTATTTTACCTACAAATCACATTCATATACATAATACAATATATTCAGATACAAATTACTAATACATACAAATATTTAATTAATCTTAGTTTTTTACATACAAATTACTAACATATTTATAATAATGAATTTATCTTTATTAATTTTAATAGCATAATAAAATAATATCTACTTTATTTTTACATACAAATTTTTAATCCATTTTAAAAAAATACAAACTACTTACATATTTACAATACATAAATTTACAAAATTTATAATCTTCCTGTTATAATTAAAATATATTTATGTATACAAAATATTTTATATAATTAAACCAAATATTTCTTATTATTATTATTAAATTATTTTATTTAACTAATTTTGTATTATTCTCTAAATAAATATATAACAAATATATTATACAACATCATATTAATAATATTATACAAACATATAATAAACAAATATCATTATATTATTTTTTGTCTACAATTTTTTTTAATAATTTAACATAATCAGTCAAATTTTATTTTTTAATCTATTAATTTAAACACAAATTATTGAAATAAAATTTAAAATTAACTAAATCAATTTTACTAACCTCTAATTCTTTTAATTCTCTCTAAACTGTGTTTACCTGCAAAACAAAAAATAATTTTTTCAGCATTTTAAAATAATAAATATAATATAAATTTACATATAAATATAAATAATATCATTATCTTAAATAAAAATTTAAAAACTATAAAATCTTACTGAAAATTGTTCAATGCAAGCTTTCACAAATGGAGGAGAGGAGGTGTCGGCTGAAGATGAAGGAATGGAAGAAGCAGAAATGGAAGAACTAAAGGAGGAGCAAAGGGGAAGAAGGGACGAAGATGGTTATTGTGCCGCCTGCCATGTGTCAGCCTTCCATTAGTTTTGCCAACAAAATTGGCAAAACACTCTTTTGCCACTGACAGCGCGCAACAAGTACGATGTTGCCACCTATCTTCGCCACTCCTTAACTGTTCATTTTGAATTTTTTGAAATTTTATTTTATTTAATTTTATAACTTTCACGTTTTTTGTGGCGAAACAAATTGGTCATATCCACGTGTCATTTTCCCATTAGTTGTACGGCGATAGTGGCAAAACTCCTCATTAATTTTACTAGTTAAATGGTAAAACTGTTGATTTGCTCACACGAGCTTCAATCTAATGTATTTCGTATTATCAGTGACAAAATTTATTATTAAAAAAATTCAAAAATTAAATTTTTGCCATTTGTTGTGGCAAAATTACTTGTCAACATGGCAAATTCACCCAAGGAATGTGTTTGAAAAAATCGATAATTTAAGAAATAGTTTTTTAATTTATAATATTTAAATAAAAAAGCCTTAAAAATGACGTTAACATATATCAATTTTATTATTATCCCAAAATTAATTAATTGTTCTTCCGCCAATTCAAGTCGGCTGCGTAGTCTGAGCAAACTCTTGTGTATTTACTGACTAAGGAAACTGTGATGAAGAAAATGAAAGAGTGCAGCAATGGCGTTCTCTTCTTCCCTCACAACCACATGGATTCCGATTCCCCTCTCTTTTTGCTTTCGCCCCAACATCCCAACCTGTTCTTTCCCGTTCTCTCACCCAAACCGAAGAAGAAGAAGCTTTTCCGTCAACGCTGATAACCCCCCGTTCTTCGAACCCGCCGGATTCGGACCCCAATCCGACCCGACCCCTCACTGCCCACCCGGCCTCCGACAGTACGAAACGATGGCCGTTTTGAGACCCGACATGTCCGAGGATGAGCGCCTTTCCCTCACCCACAAATACGAGGAGGTATTTCTCTCTCTTTTCTTTTTCTAAATTAACTTTATTTTGATTGGATTAAACTAAAGCATTGAGGTGTTACTTCCAAATTGGAATTTATATTTTGGAAAGTATCAAAATTTACACATAATTAAAATAAAATATATTTACAGTATGGGATGCAAAATACTCTTTTGTTTGGATTCATGGTATAAGATGTTTTGGAAAATGAATTCACATAGTTGAATCCATTTCCTGATAGTTTGATGCAAGGGGAGCTTTTGAACCACCAAATTGTCTGTTCATTCCTCCATTTTAGATGTTTTGTGAATGCTAGAAGTGACATTCACAATTGGCAATTAAATTGTACAGAGAATATCTGGCATGAGAGTTTCTTATTTTACTTGAAATCTTAAAACTGAGATTAAATTTCAATGTTATAAAATTATTAATAAAGCAAAAGAAGGGGTCCTTGAAAGTGGGTGTGGGTGTAAAAAAAAAATATTGGACATTTTGGGAAAGGGAAAAAAACACTTACTAAGGACTTATATAATAGTGCAACCATCAGTGATGTGCTTCCATTTTTAATGCATATACAATGCAGTGTGGTTTAGTTTAAAAAATAAACTGATCATTCTCTGGTGAAGTTGTAGCTTTACAAGCAAGTAGGTTATGTTTATGTCTGGCAATAGTCTGATCACATAACTCAAAATTGCTGCAACGCGTGCCGATGATTTTCTTGGGGTATGCTTTTTTTCCCTTTTTCAATAAAGATGACTACTTATGAGGAAAAACAGAAAAATAACAGTACTTAGTTGGAAATTGCTTACAAATATGATAGGATTTTTCTTCTTGCAGCTGCTTGTTGCTGGAGGTGGCATGTATATAGAAGTTTTTAACAGAGGAGTTATTCCACTAGCATATAGCATCAAGAAGAAAAACAGGGCTGGAGAGACCAACATTTATTTTGATGGTATCTACCTCCTATTCACCTACATCACAAAGCCTGAGTCCATAAACATTCTTGAGGAGACACTGAAAGCTGATGATAATGTTATCCGGACAATGACCTTCAAAGTTAGGAAGAGGAAATATTAGTTGTTTTGAGCTCTTGACTAGTTATGAGTCAAAAAATGGTTGGGAAGAAAAAGGTATTTATTATGTAACATCTTTTGTTTATCGGATGTTTTTCTCTTTCTATTTGGATTGAGGTATTTTTGTAGCATTGAGTAATTAGATGAGAGGTATTACCATTTACAGCATGTATATTGCGTAGTTTACCTATAGGCCTGTAAATTTGATAATAATATTTTCATTTCTTTATTTTGGGTTCCAAAACTCTTGGAGATTATTTTATCTTTCTCTCATACAGCTCATAAAAGCAGAGGTGGATAAATCAGTTACTGCCACAGGAAACATGTTAGGTTATTTTGATTGTGATAAGTTCTCCCTCTTCTTTGGATTTGTCTTCTTTCATTTTCTGCAATTCTCAATCTCTACATCTATTTATCTTTGTTGTTACTATTCTATAGCTTGTACCTCTGTCCCTGAAGTGTTGCAGAAGTTGTCCTCAGCATTGTGTTGTCAGTTATATACTTAGAACCAAGTTCACGAGCGCAGAATCAGTTATTTTTTCTTGGCTTGTTCTCAACTTTATACTGTTATGGATGGAAAATGTTCATTTGACAGCCAACAGTTACAATCTGCTTTACCTCTGCTTGTAATGGAGTTTGCGGAAACCCTTTTTTCTTTTGCTTTGAGAAAACAAGTTTGAGATTATTTTGTTTTCTGCATTGAAATTCATGTAACTTCTGTGTCACATGGAACACAGACAAAATAGAGAAATTGAATGGGGTGTCATCAGGAGAGTGTAAAAATGATTGAAAAAACAGAACATTGCATATTTATAGTTGTTTATACGGTGTAATTAGTATTCTCATTTAAAGTAAATTATTTTTAATTTCTTAATATGGTCTTCCTTTTTATAATAAATATGTAAAATACTTAAAAGAAATAAAAAATAAAAAAATAGTATAATGAAAAATAATTAATATTATCTGAAACTTTAAAACAAACAAATAAATAAAGATATTTTTTTATGAATAAACAGATAAAAAATAGAGTAAGGACAATACTTTTTTTAAGAAGGTGTTTGCTGTGATATTAATAAATTTGAGAAGATATTTTATACCTTCTTTAGATTAATGGTTGAGATTTTTCTAATATTTTAAAGATAAAAAAATATTAACTTCTTCTTTAATTAAACTATTAATTTTATTATTTATTAATATAAAATTAACAATAAGAATTGTTTCATGTATAAATGAGATACCTAGCTAATAAAAAACAAGTATCAAACCATCTCAATTAGAAGAGGTAGAATAGATTTCACCTTTTAATAAACTGTTAAGAGAGTAAATTTATGTAGAACGCACTAAAAGTTAACAAAGAGTGAAGCTTACTCTCCGTACATAAGAAAGAATTATCTATGTTATTTGAGTATTGAACTATGCGTAAGTTGCTATACAAGGTGATAAACAAAGGGTATGTTTTACGTTGGATTTTCACATATTTTGTTGTGATATAATTGATTTTGCTTCAAACTCATATTTGAGTTAACTTAATGAAATGTAATTTTTGCATTGAGTTAAAATATCTGTACTGATTTTTACTATAAATTTATTTTTAAGATAACATTTCAAAATATAAATTAAACTACTTAAATTACTTTTAAATAAAATTAATTTTATAAAATGAAGATCATTCAAATTAAAATTTTCAAAACGCACTCCTAAACATACACACATTTCATAATATCATATTTCATATTGTTTGCCTAATGAGACCAAATTGGGAAGCTGACACAAGTTTCACAAACACAGCAAACTTCCGAGGTGCTATTTCTAGGGACTACAAAACGGCAACAAAAGTGGAATGTCTTGATTGGGATATTTAAAGAATAAGTGTAAACCATGACACATAGGAGCAGCGTTGCTTTATTTAATGAAAGACAGAATCTGACGTAACAGTGCAGTTTGAGATCTGATCCCAAAATCCACTTCGAGGAAGAAAGAGCTTAATCCGCTCCACGTTCCACCAACAACAGTAAGATAGATATTCCACCCTAACTCTTCCCTCTTATCAAAATGCATTTTATTCCTACCCACCAAATGAAAAGGAAACTAGAGTTACAAAAAGGTAGCTATAATAGCTAGGTAAGTGTAAGTAGTACATGGCCAACATGCAAAAGCAATGTTCAAATAGCGTCATATATAGTGCAGAATGTGAGAAAGGTTGCATGCACTTGAACTATAGACTAAAAATGGTGCTTGTGGAGCACGTAAGGGTACTTATAATATAAGAAAGATCTATGTTAAACACATACAAACAAACCATACAAGGAGACAAAGATACTACATTTAATCCAAAACATTAAGGTTATTAGGTTGTATAATTAACTTTTTTATTATTATTCAATTGTGAACATCTTTATTCATACTTGATTTCAACAATCTTTCTCTCATGTTTGAGTCCCTTTCATTAAGTACATTCTTTCTTTAGTGGAAACTTATTTTTTCTGCAAATATTTATAATAACACTTGTGCTAAAATAATTGTCTAGCAATGTTCTTTCTAACTTTTACCGTTATTAACTATCATCAAGAAGGCATACCACCCAACCTCCACATCATTAGGAAGAATTTTGCTACAAGGATCTTCTTAAATAAACTCACCAACAACTTACTTCAATACCTATTGAAGTTGACAACCTAAATAGAACATCAGTTTTGATACCTATTGATGGAGCCTGCAAGGGAGCTTAAAAGAAGGGATCTCCATCACTGAAGCACAAATAAATCATGTAAGCAAACATAAATCTACAGTTATATTTGACCTCAACAACTTTCTTGTCTAACCAAAGAGAATATTGAAGAAAAATGATAGAGAATGAATATTTAATCTATTAAGTTAAGAGTTGTAAAATGATACATTACATTTAATTTATAGTAAATTTAAGTTATAGATTTTAATCACTTATATGTTGATTCTATTTTTTCATGAGATAGTAAATTATGACATATTAATTTCTCCTTTGTAAGAAAAAGTGAGAGATATAAGTTTTTTTTTTCTAATTTATCTACAAACTTAATTTTCAATATCTTAAAATTTGGGAGGGTTTAACTAAAGTTTTATCACTTATACCTAAGAAAAGAAGATTTAGTGTTAAAACTTGTGATTGCATACTTCATGATTATTCTACAAACAATCAAGTAAATAATTTTTACAAGTGTATTTACAGTAAACATTACGATAGTTTAATTTATTATCATTTGTTTATTTGTTAAAGATATGTTTATATTGAGAAAATATGCATTATATGATTTTCAAGCAGTGAATACTCTTTATGATACTAGTTACACTTGAAAAGAATGAATAATGGGTGTAGTGTGTATATTTCAAATAAAATATGCTCAAATAATTGATAATCTTATACATTTGATGACTTATCTAAGACCTGTATTATATATGCTTTAAATTGGTTTTGTAGATATATTCAAAATATTAATAAAGATTATTATTAGATTGTTTTACGTAGAGTTTTAAAATATCTTTATGGAGCTATAAACCTAGACTAATATTATGTGTGATATATATATATATATATATATATATATATATATCTTGTTATTTTTAATGACTTGATAAAAATTGGATATTTGAATTGGATGAGACGAAGTTCACAAGTAGGTGTACTTTTATCCTTGGCTAGAATGTTGTTGTTTGGAAGTCATCCAAGCAATCATAGATAACTTGATCTAATATGGAAATTAGTTGTTTTTTTTAGTTGATACAACCGAGTGTTGATTGGTTAAAAATCTCCTAATTGATATTTCTCTATAAAAGAAATTGATCTCTTTCATATTTGTACATTGTGATTGTTAAGAAACAATAACAAATCAGAGAGCCTATAACAGAGAATTGAAACATACATGTATACGTCATAATTGTTTAAAACAAGTGCTAGATGATGAGATAATATTGTAACACCCTTTGTTTCTACTATTTATTTATGTTAATTATTTTATTTTATTTGAATAATCTATATCATCAAAATTAAATTAAATTTCAAAGTCTAATAATACATAATTGAACTTAAATGTTGAAAATTACTTGAATAGAATTTTTGAGATTTTTCTAGAACATTACTAAATATGGATATGTAAAATTGTTACACATTAATATTTAAGCAAGATTCAAATTGTTTGAGGAAATTGCTTAAGTATAAGTGGGACAATAGCTTCAAACCTTGAAAATATATTTTCTAAATTCTAGGAACATATTAATTTAATTTAATTTTATCTAAAAAGAATATTATTCTTATTTAAACTAATTAATTAAAAAGGATTTTGATCCCATGAAAAAAACACTTTTATGAATCCAACAATCTTATTTAGAGTACATATTTTTATTCCTAATTTTCTTGAGAAAGTATGCGGATTTAATTTTCATTTTCGACTAAAAAAGCACATTAACTTTATTGCTTCAAAGTGTAAAAGTTTACAATTGACTATAAAATTGAATTCCTTTTTTACTTTATTTATTTTTTAATAAGATTAGACTTAAATAAACTTAGTTGAGGTTAGGTAAAATATAAAAATTACAATAGTAGAAAAAGTAGTTTTAATGAACTTGGATGGTCAAAATAGCATGAGATTGAGTGCTTAATCTTTACCCTTCATTTTCCCACACTAAATTGCTTATAAATATACATCACTTAACTTCATTTCCCTCCCACAAAATCTATAAGTAATTATCCATATTTTTTTCTTCCTTTCATGCATTTGCCTTTATTCAATTTTAGTTTTTAAATTATGCTTAAATCTTGGTAAATTTTTAGTTCTTTTAATTCTCACCCACAATATTTATATTCATTTGGAGTGGTTTATGAACATGAGTAAGGTGCTTTTATCTTCCCCTTGTACTGAATAAGTTTGGCCCCTAAGGCCAATTTGGTGCAAAATTTTAATCTCTTGTTTTCTCTTGCATTTTCATTGTTATACATGAAGTTGTGAACTTAGAAATTGAAAAATTTCACTC